TAGTCACATCAAACGGCATCACATAATACTCATAATGACCATACCTCATTTTAAAAGTAGTCTTATGAATATCTTCAGTCTTCACACAAATTTGATGATACCCATACCTCAAATCTATCTTACTGAACACACTTGCACCAACCAACTGATCCATCAAATCATCAATCCTCGAAAGTGTATACTCATTCTTAATAGTCACCTTGTTCAATTGTCTATAGTCCACACAAAGCCTCATAGAACCTTCTTTCTTCTTAACCAACAAAACTGGTGCACCCCACAGTGACACACTCAGACGAATGAATCTCTTCTCAGAGATCTTCAAATTGACTCTTCAACTCTTTCAATTCCGATGTGGACATAAGATATAGAGCAATCAATACTGGACTAGTTCTAGGAACTAAGTCGATCGCAAACTCCATTTCGCGTTCCGGCGGTAAATCACTTATCTCATCAGGAAAAAAAACTTCCGGAAAATCACAATAATTGGCAAAACACTAACTGCTTCACTTTCACTAACATTCAAAGTTGCCATCAACATAAACATCTCAGCACCACCATGCACCGACTCATCAAAATAATATGTAAGCACTTGGCTTAACTCCAAGCAATTCACTACACACACCATCTAAGCTCGCAAGACACGTCTATTCAATCCAACAGTATCATGTCTACTATCATCAAGAGATTAAGGGTGATCAGTTCCTCAATTTGTCAATAGACAGCCGACAATCATGATGGGGCATAAACCATCTTTACCAAACTATAATAGCGTTCAACGACTCACTGAGCCACCACTCCACACTTGAAGAATCTTGGAGAAGCACAAGCTTCTCCCCCAATTGTTTCAATCCCACTTCTGTAGACAAAGGTTAAAATAACAAATGTGTACTGACATTGTTTTCACACACCTACTAGGGAACAAACAACATTAGACAACCTGGTTGGACCGACCTGCTCTGATACCACTAATGTAACACCCTTCTAAACCCCCGCAGAATATATATAAATAATCAGAGTAAATTATCATGTATCTCAAATAAGGGTGTCACATAAATTCAAAACATCACACATATACTTGTCATGCTCAATAACACTTAAAATAAATTCATGCTTTTCATTTACTTTCACATAGCATGTAGCAGCGGAATTACTTCAATCATAAATTAACATAATGAAGGCCCCATGATCAACTCATTCATAATCATCACTTAGGCATAAAAGTGATACTCCACATAATTTAAATAACAATAAAAAAAAATAAAGTAGAGTACATAAAGTATCTCTCAAAACATGAATCGAAATGTTCCCAGTGTCACTACAAGAAAAATGATGGATTACGACGGTCATTTTGGCAGGTTACGACAGTTAAAACCACCATCAATCACATTCTACGACGGTTGTAGTACCGTCGCAGAAACGTGTGTCCCCAGGTTGTTTAGCGACGGTTGCCAAAACCGCCACACCAACCGTTGTTATATTTCACAACGGGCTGGAACTGACCTAAACTGGAGATGGCGACGGTTAAAGACAGTTTAAAACTGTCGTGAACTCTATTTCACGACTGGTTGGAACGGACATAAAATGGAAATGACAATAATTAAATATTGTCGTGAATATACTTTTTATTTGGTAACGGTTTAAAGCGCAACTAATTATTTAATTTTTACATTTAGCAACAGTGTAAATCATTATTAATTTTTATGTATTGTATTATATTGTTTTATAATATATTCTTTTATTTAAATTATTATCTACTAAAATAGTTATATTACTTTTTCTTTAAATTATTTATATAATAATATTTTTATTTATAGTATTTTTTAAAATTTTATTTTCTATCGCTTTTTAACGTAGTAAAATTAATTCCAAAATTTAATATCAAATAAGTATTATAATATAAAAAAAACGTGAGTTTCATAATCATGTAAAATGAAAGTTCCATAATCATGTCATGTAATACAAAATACCGAAAACATATCAAATCATAATCTTATAACAATAAGTATCATTATGCCTAAAATAAATAAGAAGATTCATAATCTAGAAAGTATGTCATTATGGAATTCGGCAGCTAAAAATTCTATTAAAATAATACTCTTTAAAATAATACTCCTAAGCTTTAACTTTAAAACCATCAAAATAATATACCTGTCTTCCACTAGAATTTTGCATTTGCATTAAGACTTCAATTTCTTCTTTCATAACATTGTCTCTTTGCTTTAAGAATGTGATTGCCTCCATCAATTCATCAATTTTTGAATTTTTATCTTTAAGTGCAATAATTTTTTGTTGCATTTCCTTCATTTTTTCATTTTCTGCAGAAGAAGATGTCAATTGTGTAAATCTATTAATATGAGATGGCGTAACTCCAAGCCTCATACTACGAACATATCCATGTTGTTCTTTTCCAAATACTTTCTGAAATACCTCATTTTCAGACACATAATCGTTAATTGTAGCTTGTAACTTTTCCTGCACATGAAAAAGAGTAAATTGAGCAAGCAAACTTAACTAAGCGTTTCAATCTAGCTAATATAAAAATTTCTACGTCTTAAGGGGAAACAAACAATGATTATAAGCAAAAACTAATAAATTTGTATTGACGAAAAAGATGTTTAGTAATTTAAAACTTGGTTTAGCTAGTTAATCTATTTGTGATGGTAAATTTCAATTCCAATAAGTTTTATTGGCTGCTCAAATTATTTAAAATTTCAATTTCAGTATGCATTTGTGATGGTAAATTTCAATTCCAATAACATATTTGATTATGTAAAATTTGTATACATGTTAAAATTTCTTCTTACTACTTGTATTTATTTAAAATTACAATTCCAGTATGCATTTGTAAAAGTTATGCTTTAGTGAAAATATATGTTACCAACTACTCTCATCTAAGGCATACCAGTATGTAACTAGTAGAATTATATGTTTTCACATCATATATGAAATGTAATCTTGTCTTAATTTTATATTTTATTTCTATTTGTCTGAATAATTAGTTGACTTTATAAAGAGCACAATCTATTGTTACAAGACTAATTAATTAACTCAAATAATCACAATTCTCAATCTAATTTAACCAGTTTTTAGACAGGTTCTCCCCACCTTTAAGAGATGCCAAAATGTTTGATTTTTTATCATACCTTAAGGAGACTAACAAATATTTAAAAAGAATTAACTTGTACTTACATTATTATTGTATGCATCTTCACTGACAAAAGACCTGTCAGACTTTTTATGAGAAACTGCATACATTTCTCCTCTACTGTATGTTCGTCCATCTCTCGATTCCTACAAATAAGAAAAAATATTAATTATTTTTACCATCAGTAGTACATTCAACTCTATATAGATTTAGACATACCAACTCATGTTTCTTCCTTGCAAGCGACATAGATCCGAGTGTATGTGAAGTCTTCAATTTTGCTCTATTTTGGGCATTTTTGGGCTATTTTCTTACATAGTTTAATAATTAAAAACATGCGTTATAGATAGGGATAACATACAAACCAGATAAACCTAACAAATAAAAGCACTAATATTACCTGTGTTTTTTCTTTCCGCTTATATTGAACAAAAACAGCCCAATCATTTTCCAGAATGCCTCTGCATATTGGATAATTTTGAAAATTTTCCTCCAAAGTGAGATCCCATCTATAAAATTGGCGAAACAATTGATGTCGATCATCCTTCCATTTCTTTGCAGCAGAAGCAAGTATGAATTCTTTGTCACACCTATCATCAACAAGAAAGTGGAGCTAACCATAAAAATAAAAATTAGTTAACAAAGCAAATAATAATCACCTTGAAATTAATTTAAAAAATATGTAATTGTTTATTAATGATACCTTTATCTTTGAATCATAAAACTTTGTTTTTGTATCCGCTGGAATATCCTTCCAACTCTTGAACATTATGGGAAAGTCTTTAAACATTCTAATAATTATACTCAAATACCCTGCTAACAAACCAGAAGCTGGTCCTATTGCACAATGATCCTTATCAAATTCAAGTATTATCCATGTTCCATCAGACTTTGATTTTTCAACCAAGTATTTCACATATAAACGTGTGTTTGAAACATAACCCTCCCCATCTATCACATAAACAAGTAAACAAATTAATGTTATAACTCAACTATGTAAACAAAATTAAATTATTTACAAATACTTTAACCTTAAATTACTTACTAATGACATTTAGATCACAATACACAGATTTAGCCACTTTTATAACATCTTCAATCACATCTTCTGCCACAACATCTTCAGCCTCATCTCCTACCACAACATCTTCAGCCTCATCTCCTACCACAACATTTTCATCCTCATCTGCTACCACAACATCTTTTGCAGTTTGGATTGGCAAATGGGTTATTGTAGTTTCAATTGGCAGAGGGGTAATTTTAGTTTGGATTGGCAGAAGAGTTATTGTAGTTTTGACTGTCGGAAGGATTATTGATGATTTGCGCGTTGTAGTTGAACGTAGGCGCTTCTTGTTTACTTCAAGCTCTCCAGGTTGTACAAACCTCGGACGACCCTTCACAGACTAAATAAAATACATCATGAATATCAATCAACAATTAATACAATTAATATTTATAGACTAGTATTGAGAATTTATTACTAACCGACGATGGTTTGGAAGAAGACGAAGATGTTTTGTGAAGGGATTGAGAGAGATTTGGAAGATTGAGAGCCTCTAGCTTTTTCTTATTCTCTGCAATCCTTTTGAGGCGAATTTCCTTATATGATGAAATCATTGTCTCACAAAAGGCTTCAACTGCAAGTATATGTATTAAAAAGATAATACACTAATAGTATTAAACATCAAAATTTTATATTAGTGACTATAAATTTAATAAACATAACGTGAACACAAAAAAACATAGAGTAATAATGTCATCTCATACATTAATTAGGGATAAAAAACAAAAACCATAAGTCTCACAAGATTAATGTTAATTATACAAACAAACTAAATTTCTTATCAATAAAAAACTATATGTTAATTATTGTTATCATTTGCTGATGAAGTTCCAATATCATCATTCGAAAAAATTTGTTCCAAATTTTGTGATGGATATGGCTCAATGGTGACATAATTTCATCATTTCCACCCATGTCATACAAGTCTCCTGGATTCAAATGAACAAGTATGCTGCATCCTTCTTCATTCTTATCATCCACATAAAAAACCATCTGAGATTCTGACGCTTGAATGTACAACTCATTATCTTCATGTTCCCTAGAATGTAGTAGTTTTGTAAAGTTTATAGAGGTAAAACCTAACTTATCTATCTTAATGCCTCTTGGGTTTATGGTATTAGCCCATTCATATTTAAACATGGGCACTGTGAAGCCATCATAGGAAAGCACAATAATGTCTATCAATCTTCCATAGCAAGGGACCCCTCCAAATCTCATTTGGGCATCACTATTGCTTGAATAACTTCGCGTCCCAAACAAGCAAAAAACGGCACTATTTTGAGTTTTTAAAAGATTGTCTCGTTCCAATGTTCGAAATTTGAATCCATTGACATTGAACGCAGTAAATCTTTTAACTTTATCAAAAGGGCCATAAGCAAGACTAATGATAACATCTTTATCTGGTCCATGAATGTTGTCAAGATTGTTGCAAATCTATACACGATACAACATCCAATTAGTCTTGTTATTATTTAAATCCAATTCAATTAAAATGTCTATTTTTGTACAAAAACTCACACGATTGCGAAACCAATGAGCAAATTCTCTATGAACCTTCTTATCTATCTCAACAACACTTCTTTGACTGCACTTCATTTGATTCTGAGTAATACTTCAGAACTGCCTATTTGGTTATTTGATATTAGGCAGTTCTGTATAGTTGATCCAAAATCCAAAAGTGTCAAGTTATAAATGTTAACCTCTTCGGAAACTATTTTTAAAATAATGACAACACTACACTATGTAACGCAATTACTTAGTATAATCCAATCAAATTCGTTTCGATAATTGATAAATTATCCAATATACTATGTGAGTAAAATATATAAGCATTATTTACAAATTTTAATGCTATACAATATGCTATGTGAGTCAATAGTGTAAAAAGGCTTAAGACCTGCACCATCACCTATAACCATTATCACATTATTATTTTTCCCTTTTCCCTTCCAACAACGATTCTTGTTTGTGTAGTAAAAGTAACAACCAAATACTATGATGATAATAATAAAAAGTAACCCGATGACCAGCAACATTTAAACGTCATCATCTTTAACCATAAATTTCTAGCCGGACCGTTGTCTTCTGTCCCTAAAACATTTCCAGCATTGAGAGGTACAATTTCTTGAAACCTGAGCGAAATATAACGCAAACCATTTCAGATTACAGCAATTATTACACACATTACAAATTAAATAATCAGAAACTTACCCAAGAACATATATATCGGCGGGAGGAGAAGTATGAAGCCAATCTTCAAGGTTCAAATTACTCGGAGGAGATCTTCCGGCTACATTCCAAGTTGCAATAAATATTTTGCATACAGAAGAAGAGATAAAAACTAAATATGATAACAAATTAACCGAAATTTCATAACAACAACTACGCAAAAAGAATCATGCATACCTATAGTTATTCACATATGTAACATGCAGACCTAGCAAGTGTTACAACACTTCAACAGAACAGCTATATTTCGACATAGTCGAACACTAGCTTTTTACAAAAATAATGAATTACAACTTCTAACAGATTTCAAAATTAATCGTACAATTTATATATAAATAAATAAATTTTAAAAATAACTTTTAAAAATACAAAGAAAATAAATTTATTTTTTAAAAACTAAAACAAACACCTCCTTAAACTAAGTCAAAAATTCTTCTTATTATTGACAACATTACTGTCCATAGCTCTAAAATTCATCAACCACTACCAGGAAAAGTATATAAACATGAGCTACTTTCAACAAATGTCTAGACCTATTTATACAATTCAAGTATGCTAAATTATTGCTCAAAGCATGAACCTGGTCCAACAGGAGGAGTTCTAGCATAAGAATTCGTGACAGGAGCAGCTGGAACCTCTCTTCTATTCAACAGACATATGAAGTATTGCAGTCGCGACAATGGAGTCAAGTCACCATTTCTGCCTGTAGTAAATTGTATCAGACTCCACAAATGCTCTGTTCGAAACATGCAATTAATTGTTAATTTTTTATATTAAAGATTTAAGGCAGGCATGTCTGACACCAACAGGACATTGACACGTGTGGTTACATATAACCCTAAGTTATTATGTGCCTACATCTCAATGGTATCAGTGTTGTGTCGGGGTCTATGTCTTTGTCAATACTTTTGAATCTATAACAGCTAAATTAACTATAAGAGGGAATGAAACTCAACTTTACAAGATTTATTGTAATTAAATATAATGCAGGAATGTAAAACTTCTTTGGATTAGTAAGACGACTAACCTGCTGCTGCTGCAGCTCGAGGCCATATTGTTTGCTGAAAATCTGATGTGTCAGCTACCTCAGCCCACATGCAAACTTCTCCTCCGAGCACAAGTTTTTGTTCAAAAGCTTCATGTATTCCTTCTAGTGGGTCGGTGTTATATACAACATCCCAACGTACATCTAAATGGTCAAGATACCATACATGCTGGTTATTGAAAATACACCTGAAGCCTTTTGTAACAACCTTCGGGCAAACACCAGAGCTCCACCTATAGAAATGATTCAAATAATTAGGACTGAGTCTTTTGAGCGTCGGGCCAAAATAAAACAACATGACTAGATGGACAAGAACTCACCATTTATGAATTACTGTTTATGGATGGAGCTTTGCGGGAAACGCATTGAAGGTTTCTTCCCTAATAAGTTACATAAAAGGTTGCATCTTAATAATATGGAAAATAATAAATTGAAGTACAAAAGACAAAACATGTAATATATACATATATTTATCATGCCAGTTCACAGGAGTCCAGTTTTTCGAAAGAGCCATGTCTTGGGCCTTCAGTACAAAATATTCGTAAGCATCCTCAGCAGTCATGTTGTGATTCTGAAGCCTGCATTAGAGATAAAGTCACGTCTGAATATTATGCTTGATGCATGACAATAATCAAATTCAGTGATTTTGACGGATAATAATTTTCTTTGACCACCAGATATGGAAAACAACTTTCTATGTCAAGGTTCGTATTTTCAATTAAATTTGAGTTTCCATAGTAAATTTACAGCTCTAGGCAATAGAAAAAAATCATCTGGAATGTAAACAAATGAATATAAAAGGTTATAGTTTGTACCACTTATTCACACGAGAAGTATTGGTCCAACAATCTGTCAAAATAATTAGTGATTTCTTATAAGTTAGCATTGATACAAAATGGCTTATAACTAGCACGTTGCGAGAAGAAAGTCAAGCATACCAACTTGTATTCACTTCATCACCACCCAAGTGAAATAGTCCAAAGGGGAATATTTTTCTCATATCTATAAATTTAGAAGAAAATAGTTAGAAAAGTAAAACGACAAAATTTCATTTACAAGGTCAGTGTACATAGTAATGTAAGTATGCACATTCGGAAATCGTTGCATGTTTTATAGGAACTTAACATGTCATAATGCTAGAAAGTACATCAAAGGTAGACTTCTTTGAAACATCGAGTGGGCTACTACACAAGGGTGACGGCCAAACATCTGGATATCCAATACCCCTAAACAGAAACAAAACATAACAATCTTAAAACATCACTAAGGTAAACTTTGCCTTGGTATAAATTGCAAAGAGTCTCAGCTTAAGAGAAAATTGAGCATTGCATAAGATTTACCATGACTTTGCATGACCAGGGACATCCACTTCTGCCATCACATTTATACCTGTGATGAATGATGCAAATAGAAACTTCCATTACTTTATTCCGAAAAAGAAAAAAATTACATTATCTTGCAAGATCAAAACAAAGTGCTATGAATAATACGAAATGGAAACTTCAAAAGGATTTCGAGACAAAGCTTTATCTTACCTCTCATTTTGGCAAAGCTTTATATCATGACAAAGTATAACATGAAAAGAGAACAGTGTTAGTCAGGCATTACTTGATAAAGCCAACTCAAAGACGTAACACAGAGTATCTTACTTGACAATTCCAGATGCATCCTTAACTGTGTATCGTTCCCACTTTGAGTATGAACCTTTCCATAAGTTCGGATATGAAGGTGCTTCAAGAGGAAATGATTGTTCGTCTACGATGTGCCAATGTAAAACATTCTGCCATGTAAAACATTCCATATCAGCAGTACATGAAAAACAACATGGTTTCAAAATGTCAAACAACCAATAGGAAAGTACAAAGGAACTCATGATATTTCTCGTACAAAACTATCATAAAATAAATATGTAACACCGACACATATGAACAAAGAAAGCGCTCGGTGTCACTATCTGACACGACACCGACACATTGGATTAGTACAATTTAATTCTTTTTTTTCAAATCATTATAAACGTGTCCATGTCTATGATTCATAGTTAAAAACAACGCTTGAGATTCACACAACAATAGACAGAAAACAACAACAGACATTAGAATTCAACAAATGGCGGTCGCAAAAACAAAACCAAACCTCAATGGTCACTTTGCCAGAACCAGTTGCTTTTATAACTAACAAATTATAGCTTTCGTCAACTCCAAGTTGAAGCTGCAACAAATTTTCAAAATCTCAAAATCAAAACATCCTTAAAACCACAACAGAAAAATTTTAAAACAAAAAGTAACCTTCTTCACTTTTGTTATGAACAATGACATTCAACTTGTTAACATCGTAAGCAGCTTTGACTGTTCTCACAAAACCGTTTCTGATGAGGGAAGGTGTTGAACCAACGGAAAGAGTTTCATTACCGAATGTAAACTTAGCAGGGAGAGGCCAAATAAATGGAAGTGAATGGTGTGGTTGTGAGAATCTGGCTGCAAATGAGTGAGAAATGAAGAATGTGAAAACAATTATGAGTAATGTAGGTTTGTAGCAGAAACACCAACCCATGGAGTAATGTAGGTTTGTAGCAACAACTCTTCATCAACACCATTATTAGAGTATATGAACATTGTCATACCCCAAATTTTACCCTCAGATCCTTTGATCTTTTGCATATCATTCTAGGTCAATCATATTGTATAACTAACCGAGTTTCTAGACTCTTTATTTGCTTCATTTCTTTTATGAATCAGGTATTGGACTTCAGAAGCTTCAAAATTGTTTGAATTAGGGTTGGATGAGAGGTTTTCTTTTGAGTTGGAGTTTTGTTGTGCAAAGGTTGTTTCTTTCAATTATGGTACTCAGGTTTCAATTAGAAGTGTGGAGTTTTCAATTGTCATGAGCAATGCCTATCTGAGGTTTATCAGACACATCTTCAGTTTTCTTTGATTGGTCACAAGGGTGCCATTTGTTAGGGTTTCTTCGTTGGTTTGGCTAGAAGGATTTTGGATCAAGGTGTTGGTTCTTATCAAGCTTTGTCTTGTCGAGTATACACTCGAGGCGAAGATTAGGGTTATCACTGTTTGGGCTAAGTCAGGCAATTGTCAGTTAATTGAGTTCCTTTTGAGGATAGTAATTGAGATGGCGTGCAGTATGGTTCAGTTTCTATTTGATGTGAATTAATCTTGTTTGAAAAAGAGGATAGCCTTCATTCTTAAATTGAGTTTGATTTAAATCATGGTTAATGTCAGGTTTGATTCATCAGGTGAAGTCAGGTTGCAGGGCTTTGGTCTTATGACTCAGGACTTCTGAAGTCAAGGTTTTAAGTGTTGTGGAG